CAGAGAGCTTGAATGCTTTTGCCTGATCATAAAGTTGTCCTCTCTGGCAGAAATTCACTATAGTATAGTTTTGTGCTGGGGAGGCATGGTTGTCTGGCAAATATCGAAGAGCTTGACTGGCAATGGTTATAGCCTCTAATAAATTCTTCACACCATTCGATACAACTGCAAATACTGCTCCTAATTTGCGCAAAGAGCTAGGAAGTAGTGGTTTACGACTTTCTGTTTCAGGAATAAATTCGTCTTTTTTCAGAAATACACTTAAATATGTAGATCCAAGCTTTCTGGGGTCTCTTAACTGTTCGAAAGAAATTGCTTCCTAAATCCAAGTAAGGAGTTGCTTAGCCCGTTCCTTATTCTTTTCTAGTGATCTAAACACTCAAAGAATATCTTGTTGATCTTAGTTTTTTGCATATCCTGTTACAGCCTTATTAGATATACGCAAGTTTTTAATTTCAGCAGGACGAATGCAGAGCATTATCATTACATCGGCTAGGGCTTGTTTATCGGATATATTAGATACATCATATAAATTCAGTCTCTCCTTAACCGATTTTAATGAGAAGTGGTCTAAAAAATCGATTCTTTTATTTTCACGTTGCTTGCTATGCTTCTTTTGGACTTTATTAAATAATCTAGTTACCTCCAGATTTAATGTAGCAGAAATTATTTTTTTTGAAGCATTGAAGGTCCACAATTCTCTTTGAAACCTAGAGAGATGAGATAAGGCAATGACAGCATCAGGTGATGTTTTTTCTAAGATTCTAGATATTGCTTTTACTTCTCTTTTGCTAAATTTATCTCGTATAATACGCTGAGCCATTTCTTTAATAGTCTCCTCAGAACCAGTACTATCTAATACTTGACATATATTTACTTCTTCAGCTTTCAACCCTGGTTCCTCTAGGACTGGTGCTTGACTTTTGCATCACCCGATTCTCTGGAGAGGAATCAATGCAAATGCTTGCTCTTTGCTAAAGCCATACCCTTTTATAAGACGATTACGAGCCTGGTGTCTTTTTTCTTTATTATCTGTTAAGAGCTCAAGTATTTCTGGCACATATTGGCTAAGCTCTTCGAGACTAATCTTATTGGTGAGTTTGTGGTCTGTGACGAACTTGGTTGTAATAACAGACATGATAAGGTATGTAGAATATATGTGGTAGTTAGACTAATCCATAGTATTCAGATTATATATTGTGGAAAAAAAAAGTTCAATTTGAAAAATTTTCTCAGAGCTATACTTCTTTGGAAAGGAAGCGAAAAATAATGATATAACTTATGCTTTGGCCGGAAGTTTTATATTGATTTAAAATTTACAGGTAAATATGCAAAAAAAGATATATAGTCACAGAACTGCCATTCCAAAACTATGAATAAATCTTTCTCGAAAGAATATTATAATTATATTTTAGTCAAGTAACCGTGTTAGAGCTAATATATGCTCCAGCCCTAAAATATCTGTTTTTGTGTATGCATTATATAAAGTACCTGGTCTATACTTCGAAGGGGTTAAATTTGGCTGATGGAGAAATTTCATGAGTACTTCATTCCTCTAAGCTTTCGTTTCTTTATGTCTCCAGCATAATTTTAATAACATGATCAAATTAAAATGGTTCAACTGGACCAGATTCTGAAGTGAGGATCGTTTATTTTTTTCTTGAGTAAATAGACTTATTCTACCTCCAACAGCAGATTTCACACTAATAGGGGACTTTCTGCAAATACTTGGTCTAACTAGGATAGATAAGGGTAGAATTAAAGCTAGATGGGAAAAGATAGAAATATCACCCCAAATATAGTTTATATAATCCGAAAGTTTATTAGTATATATGAACTCTTCACGAATCAACTTCTGGAATAGTTTTCTATTTGGGTTGATCTATCGGCCAGTTAGTAAATTGAGTACTGTTTTTTCACCTTTTATAGATGATATTATTTGTTGTGGCATGTGTTTTTTGTTTATGATATACTTTTTCTACCACAGTTCAATTTAGTTTTTCATAATTTGAAATCAGATTTCTGTAAAGAAATAATAGATCGTTTTACCTGCCCACATGTCAAAAAAGATGGGAGCATCTGTAGCCGTGTTTGTACTCGTTTAGCAGGATGCTCACTCCATTGGAAATCAGGTGCGAATAGTATGTTAAAATTCCCGTGTAGAATCTGTGATAAATCTACATTATCTTATACAGGCTATTGTTCTAAACATGCCAAAAAAATTTATCATCACCTTAAAAGAGAGAGATAACGAGAGGCATTGTTGCAAACTAACCAGTAATAATAACTTGCAATTTCAGAGATTTTACCATAAGAAACCATTCTCTTGAAGTATGCTAATACCTTTTTGCCATTCCTCATTATCATAAATATATGCATGGGGTTTTCCAACATCTTCGAGGTTATGGAGGTATATTTCTTCACTTATTAGCCTTTCTCTTCTGGACATGTAAAATATCTCATTTACATCTATACCATCTTCTTTCGCAAATTCAATAGTATCTGCATCTGACATCATCCTGTCTCGATATTCCTAGAATAATCTAACATCTTTTTCTGTGATAGTTACGAATACGTCTGGATCCTCACCATGATTGATGGCCCATTTTCTGAGCCACTCTTCACGCTGGACCATGCTCAGAAGTATTGCAAATGATACTTCATTGATAGACTTAAAAGAATCAGCTTTTTTAGGAGACGTATCTAGCACTTCACTTATAGGCTCAATAGATTCAGGTGACTTACTAGCTTTAGGCTTTTTATTTACTGTCTCAGGTAGTTCAGAAGTCTCAGAAATCCCAGATGTTGAAGCAACTGGAGCTTTGGCTTCTTCTTTCACATAGTCAAATAGAGCTTGGGTTACATTGTTCTGTTTATCTACTTTCTTATCACTAGATGAAAGAATCTTTTTTGGTCGAGACAGAGCTGTTTTTGAAGAAGCGTTTTCTGACATATTAAATATTAGTATATCTGTTGTCTCATTTTCAGGTATATCAGATTGAGGTATGTCAGAGAATTCTTCAATATCGCCTAGGCTAGACTCACGAAGCTTAACTATGATTTTAGGGTAGTTAAGAATATATTGCTATTCCCTTTTTCCATTACCTACTCGCCCCTGTTTACACTCAATAATATTTTTTTTCTGATAGCTTCTTACTGAAAATATTGTTAAATAATGGCTTTTCACCATTATCCCACACTATTCAAGATATTTTTGATATAATACTTTTTTACTTAACATAAGTACACTATTCTCAACCCAAGATGCAATGTGGTCAATTAAAAATCGGATAGGATTTGGAAGCTGTTCACGCATTATATCTACTTTCATTTTGGTTGCAAGAATTTTTCCAGGACTTCAATTTGATAAATCACAGCTAAGAAGATATGACATAACTACTCCTGGTGCATCAGGATAGTCTAGAATTTCCTCTAGCTGGTCAAAATATAGTATATTACCTCTACAACATGCTAAGACATCAAAACAGACTATATGAGAATCTTCTATATCTATTTTGAGTGGGGCATCCTGATTACTTGTAACTATATAC